TTACAGAGGGTGTGGCACAAACCAGCGCCATGTATGTCTACACTGCATTGTGCCTCAGGTTTGAGCCCAAGCTCCCCCCATCCACACACAGATCAGCCTGACTGGGATCGCCAGGGTCCTCCGAGGACCCACCGGGGGCCTTCGGAGACTCGGGTTCAAACCCCATCGTTTTGCAGGGTGGACGCAGCCCCAAGTCAGCAGCTCGCGGACGCGTGAGCACGGCTGGGAGACGTTTGACAGGGCCGGTGGCCGCTCAGGAGACCCAGGCGCAGGGTTTACAGCCAGACACTAAGGCCCCGTCTACACTAGCGCTTACTTCGGTGTAACGTATGGCACTGAATAATCCACACCCCTGAGCAACAATAACGAGGAGTCCGGTGGCACCTTAAAGAGAAACAGATGTATTTGGGCATAAGCTTTCGTGGGTTAAAAAACCCACTTCTTCAGATGCATGGAGCGAAAATTATAGATATTCATAGAATAGAATCATAGAATATCCGGGCTGGAAGGGACCTCAGGAGGTTCTAGTCCAACCCCCTGCTCAAAGCAGGACCCACCCCAACTAAATCACCCCAGCCAGGGCTTTGTCAAGAGGTTAAAAACCTCTAAGGATGGAGATTCCACCACCTCCCTAGGTAACCCATTCCAGTGCTTCACCACCCTCCTAGTGAAATAGTGTTTCCTAATATCCAACCTAAACCTCCCCCACTGCAACTTGAGACCATTGCTCCTTGTTCTGTCATCTGCCACCACTGAGAACAGCCGAGCTCCATCCTCTTATATATCTATATATATATTTGTAAGGTAACTCCCTTCTCTTCATGTGCCAATATATATTTATGCCTCCATGCATCTGAAGAAGGGAGGTTTTTGACCCACGAAAGCTGATGCCCAAATAAATCTGTTCGTCTTTAAGGTGCCACCGGACTCCTCGTTGTTTTTGTGGATACAGACTAACACAGCCACCCCTCTGATACCCCTGAGCACCGTAAGCTACACCGACCTACGTGCAGGCCTGGCCGGTCTGTCGGCGGGCGAGCTTCTCCCGCTGCCATCCTGCTGCCGCTTCACCAGACAGGTTACCGCGCCACGAGAGGCCAAGCGAAGCAGCCACGGCAGACTCGGCTCCCGGCGGGAGGTGCCGCCGCACTCGCGGCGCTTTGGCAGAAGCTGTTCACGGCTGAATCCCAGCCCCCTGGCCCGCCCTGTTTTGCAAACAGAGGCAAAAATTCCTCTGTGTCGTGGGCAAACGCACCGCAGCCGATAGCTGCTTGAGGCAGGGACCAGCTCGGTTCTGCGGCTGTACAGCGCCGAGCGCAGCAGGGTCCGGGGCCATGACTGGGGCGCCTAGGGGCTACCATAATACACCTAATAGCAATAAAAATGTACAGCGCCTAGCACAATGGTATTCTGGTCTGAGCCTAGATGCTACTGTAATACACCTAATAGCAATAAAAATGTACAGCGCCTGGCACAATGGGGGCCTGGGCCATGCCACAGGCTCCTAGGTGTTACCGCAGACCACCTCATACCAAATAATGGCACCAGTCCCAAAGCAACAGCCCAACACACTGTGGCTGCAGCTGGAGGGCACGAGAGTCTTTTGCTCGGAGGTTGCGAAGGAGCCTGGATTAGTGATGCTAGCCAAGCACGACCGCTGTGGCACCAGGAACCGAACCGGGGCCCTCCAGAGCTAACAGCGGTGTAGTTAGGGGACTGTACCAACTCACATCATGTGGGGATTGACACAGCAGGGGACCTGTCACATGCACCCCTGGGTGACACAAGCCCATTCCAACAGCTCACCCTCGCAGAGCTAGGCTGGGAACCCAGGAGCTAGGCTGGGAACCCTGCCTTTTACCCCCCCCCCACTGCCCAGCCACCACACGGAGGGCACTTTTTCCACACTATACGCTCTGTAGAACAAGCCAAGGGGGAATCACAGTTTTGCCACGCGATGGTCATTGCGGGTGGTAGTTGGATGTTTGCTTATCCCCATGCAACACAACGGGCTGGGGGTGAATTTCCGGTACTGGGGATTGAACCTTTGACTTCCAGGTAGGTACAGCCAGAGGCACCTCCAGCATCTATGGCAGAGTCTGGTCACTAGAGGGGGGCAGAGAACCACATGGTAGGTAACAGAATAGCTGCAATATGATCCCCCCCTCCCATGACACCTCCTCCCTCCATCCTGGGGGGACCATGCAGCTTTCATGGCCCCGGGGCGTCCAGTCCCAGGGCAGTGGCGGTTTGCAGGAGCCACGCCGCGGGGCGTCGAGCAGCTGCCGCGTTCTTGGTCGCTGTCCCACTGGAGCTGGGTTCGAGGTGCAAGGCCCCGGGTCCCACTCCCCAAGCCAGCCAGTCCGGAGCCAGCACCCACTAGAGGGGAAAGGCCCCATGCCCTATTCCTCAACCCCCTAGGCCAGCCAGTCCCCCCACCCTTGGGGCCAGGTTGGAGCCAGCGCCCTCTAGAGGGAAAGGTCCCGTGCCCCATTCCCTAATCCCCCCACCCCCCGAGCCAGCCAGTCCCCCCCACTAGGGAGGCCAAGTTACAGGCAGTGCCCCAGTCCCCTGCTATCAGCCTGGTTTTAAGAGTGTATTGGGTTGGTTTGTTTTTAAAATCACCTTCATTTCAAAGCAAAAAATGATCCATACACCAAGATCTGCACTGTGGGTTTATTTAACCGTGTTGTGTCACTACAGGCAGCGCTACGCAGCTGAGGGGGGTGTATAGGAAGAAGGCAGGCCCGGGGCTAACGCAGGGAATTAGACTGCCTAGAATCCACCCGACAGTTTAGTAAAACCAGCCACTCCTTTTGGGTGCCCAACCTGGGCTAGATTTTCGGAAGCCTTGAGCACTCTCAGCTCCCCTTGGCTTTAACCAACCCAGCCTGGGACCCAGGCATCCTGGCTGCCCAGTGCTAGCGGTGAGAGTAATTACCCACCGGAGCCTGGTGGATTCTCCAGGCGCGTTTAAAATCAAGCCGGGATGTTTTGCTAGATCTGCTCTGGGAAGTGTTTTGGGGCCATTGTCTGGCCTGTGTTATAGGTCAGACTAGATGATCATGTTGCCTGTCTCTCTGTGGTCAGACAATGAACCGTGACAATCACAATGACCCTTTGGGCCTTAGAATCGACACATTCCCCTGCTTTAACCACTAGACTACTCCCTTCTGCCCAGAGCCAGGAAGAGAACCCAGGAGTCCTGACACCCTGTTCCTGTCCTCTCACTACTAGACACCACTCCTCTCCCAGAGCCATAAATAGCATCCAGGAGCCCCACCCCGCTGCTCCCCCGGCTCTAACCACTCCATCCCACTCCCTCCCAGAGCTGGGAATGGAACCCAGGAGTCCTGACACCCAGTCCCCCGGCTCTAACCACTCCATCCCACTCCCTCCCAGAGCTGGGAATGGAACCCAGGAGTCCTGACACCCAGTCCCCCTGCTCTAACCACTCCATCCCACTCCCTCCCAGAGCTGGGAATGGAACCCAGGAGTCCTGGGCCGTGCACCCAGTCATTCAAAATCAGCCGCCCATTTTGGAAGATTTGGGAGCTCAGCACGGACTGTCCCGACCCGCTGAAAGCTCCAACCCTCCACTTTGTGACTCACGCCACAGCTGTTGAGAAAGCAGCGGTTTGGGTCCCAAAGAGAGCCCAGGTCGCAAGACAGCAGCAAAAAATAAATAAATAGAAAAAAATTGGCCCCTGTGCAGATCAGAGGGCGCGTCGAAAGGTGACCTGCCGAGGAAACAAAGACTGGATCTGTGCCCTCGTCTGTCTGTCTTAGCCCTGGTCTGTGTCAGAAAGGCGTCCCGAGCCAATTCAAGTGGACCAGCGTGGACCCAGCGACATCAGTACAAATGTCCTTTTGCGGTCGTGATAGGGTTAACTAGGTTGCCCAGAGTATTATGGGATGGAGCCATGCTCTAACCTTCCCCCCCTTACTTCCGGCACCCCCTAGAGGTTAGGTTAAGGCTTGACCCTAGGATATGGGAGTGTGACATCCCTTTTCCAGCTCGGCCGCAGCCTTCCTGTAAGACCTTGGAGAGAGGCCGAGGGAGTTTCCCGCCACTTGGCCAGCGCGCGCACACTGTTGTGATGCAATCAAGCAAAGCAACCCGTTCCCAGCCTGCAGGCCCCTGAGTGGATGTATTTTCCCTCGCAACTTGCAAACCCAGGGATGGGGCAAAACACAAGATAGCGCCGGAGGGGGGAATCGAGGCACTTCCTGCAAAAAACAAGGATTAGCAGCAACCATTCCGTCGGCTACTGCCTTGCAAATGAAAGCAATTTTCCCGGCAATCAAACCTCCAGGAGTTTGTCACCAGCTCAGAAAGCAGGAGGGGAAAGTTTAGAAGGCGGGCGCACGAGGCACCGAAACTGCAGAACATGCCAGGGTTCATCGCAGGATGAGGGGACGAGGCGAGACGTGGCCACGTGTCCGTGGCAGAGCAAAAAGCATCAGCGGAATATTGCTCGCTTGGCGGTGGCCTAGAGGCCAGGACTGATGGGGGGACGTGGGGTTAATCGAGGATGACCGCTGGCAGAAGGGAAGAACCTGGCCCAAAGCAGGAGAATTAGCACCAGCCGTGGAAACAGCCGTGAGAAACTGACAAGAGTTGCTCTCAGACAGCAGGGGCAGAAATCAAAGGTCCGCCCGCAAATGCGGAAGTTGCTGCTTTATTTCATGGCATCGCAAGAGAGTTGGGGGGGATGACGGCGAAACAGAAAGAGGGTAAGCCCACAATACTCCAAGTTAATTAATAGGCAGCAGGTTTAAAACAAACAAAAGGAAGTATTTCTTCACACAACGCACAGTCAACCTGTGGAACTCCTCGCCAGAGGATGTTGTGAAGGCCAAGACTATAACAGGGTTCAAAAAAGAACTAGATAAATTCATGGAGGATAGGTCCATCAATGGCTATTAGCCAGGATGGGCAGGAATGGTGTCCCTAGGCTCTGTTTGCCAGATAATGGGCGACAGGGGATGGATCACTTGATGATTCCCTGTTCTGTTCATTCCCTCTGGGGCACCTGCCATTGGCCACTGTCGGGAGACAGGACACTGGGCTAGATGGACCTTTGGTCTGACCCAGTAGGGCCGTTCTTATGTTCTTATGTTCCAGGGAACCCAATTAACACGGTCGTGACCACTTTACTCCCACAGCTAGTTCCGAACATGATGGAGAATAATACTGGTTTAAGGCCCCTTTATACCAGTATAACTGCATCCACACTACGGTTTATACCGGTATAACTATATCGGTTAAAAACATCACATTCCTAACCCATAGAGTGATACCAGGACAAAATCTATGTGTAGACCAGGCCCTACGGTTTTCTAGTGCTCCCCATCGTTGTGGAATTTGGGGGCCTGCCGTGTGAAATGAGCAATAGCCTCGTCCCTAGTGGATTTCATGGCGTTCTCCGTTTCTGGGGTGAAAATTCTGCCGGGTGGGGATTTGGCTTTTTGCGCTTAAGTTAATTCCTGCGTTTGGAGTGTGTGTGTGGGGGGGGTGTCATGGGGCCGAAGGGCGTGTCTGTGTCGTGAGCGTCAATCTGACGGTGAAAATGCTTCTTTAGGATGGATACAGATTTCAACCTAGTTTATAGCCGCTTAGCTTAAATGTCACAGGCTCTCTGTGTGACCTGATGTCTCCGACCCTCAAAGGTATTTAGGTGCCTAACTTCCACTGATTTCAAATAAAGTTAGGAAGCTAAATACCTCTGTGGATCTGGGCCTCGGTTTCCCCATCTGTGTAATGGGGGATACCCGCATTTCCTTCCCTCACATAGGGACTGTGAGATACGGATGTTCAAGGCACTAAGGGAGGGGGAAGCGCCTGACACAGAGGAAGTCCCCCGCTGCCGCGGAACCATTCAAAGCCAGTTTGAATTCAAGCCACTTCATTGTTCACCTTCTAAGCTCCCCTTAAAACTCTCCTTTGCCCCCAAGCCCACAAAAATCTTGACAGCGGTAGCGCCTGGCAGAGTGGGCGGCCTGTTCCGTGACTGGGGCGCCAAGGTGTTACCGTAATACATGTAATAGCAATAAAAATGTACAGCGCCTGGCACAAAGGGGGCGTGGTCCATGGCTAGAGCTCGTAGGTGCTACCATAATACAAATAATAAATAATCATTAAGGTGGGTTTGCACTCATTTAACGAAGTTGGCTTTGAATTTTGGGGGCGGGGGGTTTCGTTAAATTGGTGTAATTTTTGTGCCTAGACCAGCCCCAGGGCTAGTTTTCCATCGAGTCCTGCCGGGTAGATTGCCAGGTCAATGTTTCTACTGTCAAAACTTGCTGTGCTGTCATCTCAAACTGAGATCAGGGCCCCATGGGAGACTGCCCCTGCCCCAAACAGCTTCCAGTCTAACGGGGCAAAGGCACAGTCACTGTACAGACTGGGGGGGGACGGACCCAGGCCTAGAAAGATGAAGTAACTTGCCAAAGGTCACACAGGGAAGCTGTAGCAGAGGTGGGGAGTGACCCTTGGTCTCCTGCATCCCTCGCCAGTGCTTTAACCACAGCGTAAGGTTACTTCTGTTCTATTGCCCCCTCTCCCTGAGGTCCACGTGCCCCTCTCCAGCATCAGTTTTACACCGGCACCCAGTACAGGGTCATCAACCAGGTTTGAACCTGCCCAGATTGTCTCCTTGTCTCCCATTCTGTCTGTCCCTACCTCAGCACGGGCCTCCACCACTCAAGCTAACAGAGTCACTCCCAGAGCTGGCAGCAGTAGTAGACTGTTACCAGCTTTCAAGAAATGGTTGTTCTTCCCATTTGGCAGCTGGGGCGGACTGAGTTTAATTTCTCAGGGTGTCTGGATCCATTGTAAAGAAGCCAAACGGGGAGAGGGCACCCACCCCAATTTCATTTCCCTTCGCGAGTCACCTTTAACACTGCCGCTCTGCCAACTCGGGGGATGTTTAATCCCTTCCCCGGCGCTGCTAGACGGGCCAGGCGGATAACAGTCCATATATAGAAATCAAGGCCCTCACGCCGGTCTCTAAAGCCGACTCCTGTTCTCGGCCCCTTTTCCCTTCCAGGAAGCTCACCCAGAACTGCCTATACCCAAAGTAGAAAGGGTTCAGAGATAGTTTACTGCCTCTACGTGCTGCAGCGACCCCTGGGGGGGGACCCCGGCTACACAGATGGGGCCTCCGACCAGCAGCAAAAATCCGGCCTCTGCGCTGGAATCACAACTGGATTCAGCTGGAATCACAGTCTGGGAAAGTAACAAGCAAGGGCAGTTCCTTGTGCACAGGGGGAAGGAGAGGTCCTATGGGAATATCACAGCAAGCCAAGCCAAGCGCTACGCCGCCCGCTCTTGGACCTATATGCTGTTCAGGATGGATCCAGTCCCGGGTTTCTTCAAGGCAGGGGATTTGATGCTGCCCAATTTCTCCTCTTCCTCGTAGTACCCCCGTTTCATCGTGGCCGTCAGGTACTTGAACAGACTCTGCAAGGGGAGGGGAGAGAGAATGCACAAGGGGTGAAGCAGGCCTGGCCGGGCGGCTGGTTCGTGCATGGTCGCCCTGGGGCCAGGGAGGTGCCTTTTGCCCTCCCTGTGACAATCCACTCATGTCTGGCTAAGTTGGAAGCTTTTTTTTGGGGGGGGGGGGGAGTCTCAGTTCACATGTTCTCAGTAGAGACTGGTTAGAGTTTGGCAACTAAATTCCCCAAAGATTCCGTCTGCACTGAGCATGCTCCAGCCCAAGGCTGCAGGGGCTGGCAGGATAGTCCCTCTGCGTGATCTGTATTGCAATACAGCCCCCTTTGTACTCCCTGAATACACCGTGCAGGGCCTAGCCCAGTCCCCAGTTAGGGCAGCCTGAGGGCTGCTCTAAGTCACACTCCATCCCCTGTGGGCCCTGGGGGAGCAGCGAATAGCCACAGCGCAGTGCGCTCCGGCCACGCCCCCGATCCGCCCCTCGTGGGCCCTGGGGAGGCCTGTATGGGGTGGATCATCAGTGGACCATTTCAATCCACATCAAGGCCCCTGGATGCTGCCAGAGGAGCCTGTGTGTTGCTGAGAACTGGGCTCCAAACCCACTACTAGGCCAACCAGGAGGGCAAAGCCCCCCCATAAGCCCCCCAAGCGGCCGCGTCTAGTTCCCCTCTGGCTGCAGCTGACGGCGGGAGCCCCATACAAAGGGCTCAGGGCAGGATGAAGGGGTCCAGCCCACCCAAGCGCGGACGGGACCTCTGCCAGCGGCAGCATGGGAGAGGGCCAACCGCGGAGCTGCTCCCTACCTGCCAGGCCTCCTCCACTTCCGGCGTCCAGCGCTCCTTGAGGATGGGCTGCACGGTGCTGATAAACTGGATGCCCACGTACTGGAAACAGAGAGCCAAGGCGGGGTCAGAGGGAGGCGCCAGCCCCAGCCCTTCCCTGCCCGGGCTACAGATGGATCCGGACGTGGCTGGGCACCGCCGTCCACACAGATTGCCAGTCCATACTCACAAATTGCTGGGGGGAAGTGGTTCCTACTGGGATGTGCTGGGAAAAGCGGTTTGCACTGGTGGATTGTGGGGAAATCGGTTCGCACCAGGGTATACTGGGACTGGGAAAATTGGTGCGTCCTGGTGAACGGTGGAAAACGCCATTTGTACTGGAGCATGAAGGGGGCGGGGGAGGGAAGCAGTTTGTACCAGTGCATGCTGGGGAAATCAGTTTGAACTGGTGAACTGTGGGGGAACAGTGGTTTGTACTGGAGCATGCTGGGAAAAGCGGTTCGTCCTAGTGAATTGTGGGAAAAGCTGTTCCTACGGGAGCAGGCCGGGGAAAAAAGCCATTTGGACAAGTGCATGCTGGGGGGAAAGCATTTGTACCTGAGCATGCTGGGAAAAAAGATATTCTACTCATGCCTGCTGAGAAAAAAGCTGTTTATACTAGTGCATGATGGGAAAAAACTGTTTGTACCAGAGCATGCTGGGAAAATTGCTTTGTACTGGAATGTGCTGGGGAAATGGCTCTCATCCTGCCACTATGGTGCAATGCACTCTGGGATACCCTCCTGCACAGAACGGCAGTGCCTGGTTCCAAACACCCACGGGGGTAAGCAGATCCCACAGGAGCTCCCCCCACTCCTCACAGAATGGGGAGGTCCGCCCCCTACCCTGCCGCCGGGTCCCTGGGGTGCTCACCTCATAGTACTTGGGAGGGGCGTTGTATCTGTAGTGACTCCTGCCGAGCTCGAAGGCCAGCTGTTCCAGCTTGTCCTCTTGGTCCAGCCGGGCCACGCTTTTCTCAATGAAGGACATCACCCTGGGGTGGGGGAGAATCAAGCGTTGGATTGGGGGCGTGGCTGCATCGCTCCCCAGGGGTCAGAGAAGTATGCGGGAGATGTGCCATACTCTGCCAACATCCAGCCCTCTAGCCTGCCAAAGCTGGGGGAGCCCACCTTACGCCAGGAGAAATTCCTTCCTGACCCCCTCCAGCACCAATGCCCTGATGCATGAACATGAAGAACCCTCAGGCCTCATGTCCAGAGGCTCTGAGCCTTGGTAGCTGCCACTGGCTGCACAGTGAGTTGTGGGTGCTCAGCACCTCTGTAAAGCAAGCCCCGGGCACAGGTCTAGCGTCGCCCTGGCTCAGTAACGTTCTTTGGCAGGGAGTTCCACAGGCTAACAAGGGCTGGTCTGCAGACGTCAGGGCCTTGTTCTTCAGACAGTAATAATATCCATCTAGCAAATTAACTGACTAACCAGCTCCCCCCAGCCCCCCACAGTTCTGTTTCCCCCTGGCTCCTCTCCAACCCCTCCAACTTTCTTCCCATGCCCCCCACCCCATACTACGGTTGGGCACCCCTTATGGGACTAACTCCAGCCCTCACCCTCCCTGTCTCAGACCATTCTCATTTCCATGGCTTGATTACTTTACCATTCAAAACCAGGTCTGGTGGGAGAGCCTACCCTTGTTTTGGGGAGCAACTCCCCTTTCGACGCTAGCCAGCATGGGGAGGTGAGACGCCACTCCCCGCCCAGATCCAGGAATAGAACCCAGGAGTCCTGGTTCCCAGCCTCTTTCCTGCTCTAACCACTAGACCCCACTCCCCTCCTCTTGGAGATCCAAGAATAGAACCCAGGAGTCCTGGTTCCCAGCCTCTCTCCTGCTCTGACCACTAGACCCCACTCCCCTCACCTCTGAGATCCAGGAATAGAACCCAGGAGTCCTGGTTCCTCTCGCTCAGCCACTTGCATTAGCCTTGTGCCCCAAGGGCCGCGCCCTCACAGACCCAGGAGCTCGGGCCTGGCGTGGTAGCTGGTTCCCTGGCACCCCCACAGGGACCCACCTCAGGCCATGGGCTCGCAGCTCCTTGTTCATCTTGAGCTGCTCCAGGTCCTCGATGTCCCGGAAGAGGAAGAAGACGTCTTTGCACTCGGGGTGGGTCTCGAATAACCTGAGCGGGGGAGAGGAGACAGACTCAGGGGGATCGGGCACACGCACGAGCCGTTTCACTGGGTCTTTTTGTACCACAGGGCAGCTGGGTGACGTGCACGGGCGTGATCCCTAGTGGTGGTGTCAAAATAACCTTCTGCCACGTATCCTGCCCCTTCCCCCTCCACAGCACATCGCAAAGGTGGGAGCCGGTCACCTGCCTGCGCAGATGGCAACGTGGGAAGTGACTTGACCTCGGAAGTGACCAGGAGAGAACCCAGGAATCCTGACTAAGTGCCCCTCGTGTAACTGGCAGAGCAGCCCTCCCCTCCCAGAGCAGAACCCAGGAGCCCTGCCTCCCAGCCCCCCCGCTGTAACCACTAGACCCCACTCCCCTCCCAGAGCCAGGCATGGAACCCAGGAGTCCTGGCTCCTGGGCCCGGAACACTAAGGGGCTCAGACCACACACCTTTTCACAGGGTTTGGTGAGATACTGGAATTCCCTTTTATCATTCATTGCCCATATTACTGTCATGTCGAGAGGTGCCAAGCAAGACTGGGGCCTCACTGTGCCAGGCAGTGCCAAGACCTCAGTCACTGTGTGTCCGGGCAGTGCCCAGTGCGACAGGGCCCCGGTCTTGGTCACTGTGTGTCTGGGCGGCGCCCGGCGCGATGGGGCCCTGATCTTGGTCACTGTCGCGATGGGGCCCTGATCTTGGTCACTGTGTGTCTGGGCGGCGCCCGGCGCGACAGGGCCCTGATCTTGTCATTGTGTGTCTGGGCAGCGCCCGGCGCGTCGGGGCCCCAATCTCAGATGCAGCCTGTGGGTGCTACCGTAATCCAGTAGCCCTAATGTAGACAGACTGGATAAGAAGTCTCCTGTCCGCTTGCGGGGCCCCATTTTGCCGAGCCCCACAGAAACAAGCGCACAGCTGGGCTAACGCTCCGCACGAAGCGCTTTGGGGGATGCTCCGCAAGCATCCGTGCTAAACACCGCGCTCTTGGGCGAGTGATTGCTCTGCACAGGGGAGCTCTGGGAGAGCCATCTGTCAGCACCTCGCCCCATGCGGCACGGCGGGGGGGGAACCCGATTCACAGCTGCTTGCGCTCAGTGGAAGGCAGCAGCAAATTGCAGGCACAGGCTTTGAGGCTTGTTGGCTTTTGCCGGCTAAGCAGAGTCCGGCCCGATCAGTATCAGAAATGTGGGGTTGGAAGGGACCTCAGGAGGTCATCAGATCCAGTCCCCTGCGCTGAGGCCGGGCCGAGTAAACCTAGGCCAGCCCCAACCGGGGTTGGTCCGTCCAGTTCTGAAAACCCTCCGGTGACGGGGATCCCACAACCTCCCTTGGACGCCTGTTCCAGAGCTTCCCTCCCCGGAGAGTTAGAACGTTTCTCCTAATAGCTCACTTCAATCTCCCGGGCTGTGGATTAACCCGTTACGTCTTGTCCTGCCGTTGGTGGACATGGAGAACAGCTGACCCCCGTCCTCTTTAGAACAGCCCTTGACGTATCTGACAACGGTTCTCAGATCCCCCCTTCAGTCTTTTTTCTCCAGACTAAACAGGCCCCGGTTTTTTAACCTCTCCTCCTAGGGCAGGTTTGCTGAACCTTGGATTCTTTTTGTTGCTCTCCTCTGGGCTCTCTCCAATTTGCCCACATCTCTCCTGAAGCGCGGCGCCCAGAACTGGACACCGTCCTCCAGCTGAGGCCCAGACTCACTCACTGAGCGTCAGGACTCCTGGGTCCCCTCCCCAGCTGTGGCCCAGACTCCCTGTGTGCGTCAGGACTCCTGGGTCCCCTCTCCAGCTGTGGCCCGGATTCCCCGTGAGCGTCAGGACTCTGAGCGTCAGGACTCCTG